TCAGCATGAGTAAGGGAATCAGAATCTGACACTAAGATTTTTACCCCATCCATTTGTTTTGATGCAAGAGGTGTTTTGTTTTTTTAAAACATATTTTTTAATAACGTAGAAAATTGTTTCCTACCTTCTCCACATATTTCCAAATGGATTAACTGTTGTTGCTCAAATTTTCAAAATAATATAATAATTAATAAGAAAATCTCCTTCAAGCAGATTGTAAGCATGGCAAATTTCAGCCCAACAAGTAATTTTTAGGTTGAGTGACCAAAAAGTTGCTAAGAATGGAAACGAATGCAACCTTAGTTACAAGGGTCAATGTTCTTCCCCCTCTCTTTATATAAACATATGTACATAGCTTAACTGAAAATATCAAATTTATTTTTCCAAATTAGCCATGACCTTTCAGACATCATAAGAAGCAGAGTCATGAATAAAGTTCTGCAGGCATGCTTAATGAATAAAAATACCTTTGATATTTTCTTTTAAGACATGTAATATCCAATTTATATAAAGCCTCTTAACGATAATTTAAGACGTAACTTGTGCATGGCCATTCCTAGCTCTCTGAATATGTTCTTGTACATCCAATTTCTTAGTTGTTTGAATGGGATACAATCAGACTTCAAAATGAATAAAACTAATTTGAAAGTTGAATGTCAGTATGTGATTTAAACATTTATTTTGATGATCTTTGAAAACAACATTATTTATTATCTTTATTTTATCAAGGTGAAAATAAATTTAATATGATAGGAAATTTTATAAACTCAGTTTCATGTTGATGAATATATAATGTAACAAATAAATGTTAAAAAGCTTACTGTTATGCTTACAACACAGAGTGGGGTCCACAGAGAAATTGTCGATTAAAAACTTACTGATGTACTGATATTATTACTAATGTAGTTGAAATTATTTTTGATGCTTTTTCCCCCCATTATACTGTACCCTTTGATAGTCAAAGACTATCTGGTATAGCTTCCTTGCTGATTGATAATTTAGTGCTAAATTCGTAATGCAAACAATTGGCTGAAATAGGATCTGCCAATTTTAATTCCTTTTGGCCTCCCTCCAGAAACAAAACACATCACCTTGCCTCTTTCAACTTCTCCTTGGAAATTGGATTGCAGCAGGCTGTTGATATATGACTGCCATTGCTTGCCCCGTAAGGCTCATTTGCACCCCAGGATTTTTTTTGGGTGGCTGATGTGGCTCCTTCCTGAGGGGATTGCGAACACATGAGGCCAGATCTTCAGCTGGTGTCAAGTGATGTAACTCCAGGTTACACCAACTCAGGATCTGGCCCAGGGTTTGGTGCTGGGAGATGCTAAGTGCTCTCAGTTCCACTAACTTCAGTTGGGAACTTTGCAGGATCAGGCCTATGCTGAACAACAGCCTCCTTCTTCCAAGTTAGAATGTTATGGAGTCTGTCTCTCTCCTCTCTCTCTGTGACTATGCCTACACTGCAAATTAGAGGTGTGATTACCCTGCCTGTGTACATGTACTTGCGCTAGCTCTCCTCGAGCTAGCATGAGCATAAGCAGTGCAGTTGAGGCAGCATGGGCGGCTGAGACGTGCCGTATACATAACCTCTGATTTCAGGTAGGTTTGTACTCAGCAAGGTTCAGCTGTGCCTCTGCTTCTCATGGCACTGTAGCTACACTGCTATATGGACTTGAACTAGCTGTGCATGAGGTGGGGAATCACACCCCTACCGAGGAGAGTAGACATAGCCTGTGTGTATAAAATAGTGGGAAAATGGGATTCTTTTTTTCTATGGTGCATAGATTTAAAATTTGCATGTTATATTGAAGAGATGGAGGAACGATGACTAGAAGAATCTTTTTTTTAATATACTAAATTAAAATGACTTATGTGTAACAGTAGAGTGCACCATATTCAAGTCCATAGACACAGACAAAGAGAGTTGATCTGGAAATCCTCAGAATTCAGGAGGAGGAGGAGGTGCTGAGGAGAACAAATGACATTATAAGCACAGATGCTGTGTGGGTTGATGATTTTTTTTTCCTGGAGTCAAAAAGCCAAAAGTTCACATTATATTTATATACATAATCTAGCTGCCAGATGGCTTCCACTTATAATCCCCTGTTTCCCTCCTTCTCCTTCCCTTTTTTTGTAGGGAAATAGACAGGGTTTTGTTTCCGAATAGGAGTCACTATGCAAAGTATTGTGTACACATAGCGTTGCCATCCATAATTATTGACATTAAAGCGTTCTGTGTTTTTTAAGGGCAATGGTCTTTTTAGTGAATCTTTGAGACCTATCAAAGAAATATTATTTGTGGGTGGCTAGAGAGGGAGAAGAAATTAATACAGTTCTAGGCTTGACATTGTCTGTACCCTCTTGCAATTCCTTTCTACAAAAAATCTGGAGATATGTAAATTGAGTTTGTTTGGAAATGAAATATACAAGGAATATTGTATTCTGTGTAGGTGAACATGCTAATTCAAGGACTGTCATTATCATAATTGTAGATTTTTATCACAGAATTATGATCGGAGTTTTCCATCAGTATATTTGGTATTGGACTTTAGAGTGTGAAACTGAAGCTAGAAGAATTCCTTCCATGATATCTGTTCTTTATATGGGGAATGTGTCTCTGTCAGTATTTCATCATAACAGGAATGAGAGAAGAGGATCTGCCTGATTCTTAATATAATGTCAATTTATGCTGACTGCAATTTAGAGTGGTGCCTGCACCTTCCCCCCCCCCCCAAAAAAAAAGGCATTTCCTCTGTGTGTAATATCCACTGTCTGATGCAAATTTTAAGAAGAGGAATTTCTTATATGTAGTGTATGTCATGCAAAAGGTATGTTAGCTTTGCCATTAAAGATACACATTAAAGGAGAGCAGCAAAGGGGAACTGGATGGCTCATGGGACTATGAATGAGATCTGAAACTTTTCATATGTAGGTTGTCCTTATAAGTCTGGTTAGCATTAGCAGTGATAAAGTTGTTGGTATAGGTTATCAGCTGTAAGTAAAAGGAATTGGTAGTTTTCTTCCAATGCATAGTAAACAAATGTCCACATGGTATAAAACCAAACACTTCCCTTAGTCTAGTGCTGAAAAAAGCACTGCATTGTTTAGCAAATGAGAATTTCTTTCTGTTGCTGTTTCCTCTGCAGTATCTATTTAACTTCATCTGGAAGTTGTTGAGGAGTAAGGATTTGACGGTTTTCTCCACCTCTATTGAGCACTTGTGTTGGCCTTTCCAATAATACAGAATGAGCCAAACGCATCCCAATCTTAATATTTCTACTATACTTTAAACCAGACAGTAATATTTACAAACACTTTATCTCTGTCACACATATTTATCAAGGGGGTTTTGCCTGTTGATCATGTCCTAGGAAAATGGTTCATTCATAATGTCAGAAGTGCCAGGGACACGCGCTTGTACAGTAGTCTTGTGGCTTTTGTAAATACCTTTCATCAAATGCTAGAAACAAGAGGTCCATTGCTTGTTCAACATTTTATGTTGCTTGTCTCTTCTTCCCAGGCAGGATTTCCTGGACTTTGGCTCAGAAATGATCCCAATTCTTTTCTTCTTTTTACTTTGTTAATAGCTTCCTGAACAGCAGGTCTAAACAGTAGAAGAAAATGCTCTCTACTCTCCATTTCCCCAACCAAAATAGATCTCCCACAGAGCTTTAAGAAAACATGCAGTGAACGTGGTAGAATTTTAACATGCACTGACTTTTAGGAATACAAACACAGCATACAGTCCACCTGAAGTTCCTGGTGATGTTGCTTAGAACCAGGACTGAATTCTCTATTAAGTGCAGCGATTTTGAAAAGAAGGGATGAAGTAACCGCTGGGACTTCCCATGAAATTTTAAAAGCAGAAATAGCCTGCTATAAGTGTGCTGCAGGCAAAGAATCCCAAGAATGTCATAAGGACACAGAGAAACCATTCAAATGCATTAGTTTTGTGCCAGTTGACTAATTTCTTGTAAGTATTGTTGTTCGCTGTCAGGGCACGCATGAAGCCAGCACTGAACTAGATAAGGGAAAATCTGAGACCCCTCAAAAGGAGACAGTATTACTCATGAGGGCATCGTAGATGCACCACTCAGTAGAAGCATTGCTGGGACTGGCACTTCCCTTCGTGTGGAGGGAGAGGTGGGGCAATGGCTGCTCCATGGCTCTTCCCTTGAAAGTCCCCCTCTTGATGTGTGGCACCCCAACTGCACAAAGTTGCCACGGGGGCTTGCAGGGGATCCATGGTGATTGGTGAGCTATTCACAATTAATTATTTGCATGACAGTAGTGGCTCTGGCTGCATCTGAGATCTGTTGTGGTTGGTGCTGTTGATACAGAGTAAGCAGCAAAGAGCAATAAAGCTCACAATCTAAACAAAGGCTTGTTATCCTCATGTGACAGATGGGGAAACAGGCAAGGAGATTAAATGACTTGTTCAAGGCCACACAGTGAGTTTGTGTCAGAGTGAGAAATTGAACCCAGGTCTTCTGAGTTTAACTGCAAAATGATCACCGTCCTTCTCTAATAAAATAATCATAATAAGCTGATTTGATTAGTACTTTTGTCCCCTTCACCGGGATCTGGGATCGTGCCTCACAGGTTGCTGGCTTCATATGTTTCACGATAACCACTGGAGTTCTGATGGGAAATCTTTGAAAGAGTTATTGATGCTGGAAACAGTAGTAACTCCCCTCCATGCTTCTGCCCTCCTTAGGGTCTACTACTGGGGGCAGTATAGGGGTGTCAGCCAATATTAGAATTACACCTTTTGACAGAAGAGCAAAGAGCAGGCCTTCCTAGGTATCAGTTATACAAACTGGAAGGGAGATGATAATTGTAACTGCCTCTCTAAATACTTAGATAACCAACTCCAAGCACGTGTAAGCACACCATGGGAAAAATATTGTTCGAATAAATGATACAATGGATATTTTTGATGATTGATCCTACATGAATTTTTAAATGCTTGATAAATAACACCATTTTTCTTTTAGTTGATGTCCATCAGTGTGTTGGGTGTTTCTGCTTGGATGAGGGACTACCTGAATAATGTCCTCACTTTAACTGCAGAAACAAGGTAAACTTTCTTCCTTAAACCTAATTATCCATGTAGCTGAATGATGGTGTTACAGTTTATCAAATTTAGTGGGGTTTCCTAGTTAAATTTTCTATGCTGCATCTGAGAACCCCTCAGTTAATACACATTTTAGCACACAATGTGATGTTTTTTGAATCACTGGAATCAGAGATGGTGTCAGAGGACACATCTGCCTGTAGTGCCCCCTCCTGGCCAAATTCTCTGGCATCCTGCCTCCATTTCTCCTTCATAGGTTCTCGGGCATGATCCACAGAGGCTTATGTCTATTAACAAACCACTCCAAGAAGCAAGTTTATTAACATGAAATTAAACCCAAAGCAAAGTCTCTTTGATCTCTTCCCCCTCATCTCCCACTGGGCAGAGCCCCCTCCTTCCTGAGGTCTGACTGGCTCTAAGCCGTGCATTGGACTGATCAGCTCTTCTTAGGATCTGCAGCTTCACTCTGCTCCCCAGCTTCCTCTTTCTGTTTCCCTCTTTATAAAGCCAACATGGGTTCCCTTAATGACCAACTGGGCAGCAGGTAGCCAGTCCCCCTCTCTCTCCCAAGCCTTCCTATGCCCAAAGGTAGCTCTGTGGTCATCTTTTGGTCAAATTTTCCAACCAAGTGGGCACTACTACCTCTTCTGCAGACATCAGGAAGTCTGGCAAATCTCTGTTGATACCCTTTGTGGATACCCTGCTCGCAAACAATATAACCAAAGGTTATCTAGCACTATGCCCAATATACTTTATATGACTCATGTAGTTACCAAGAATTCTTGGCGTCTCATAATTTATAACATGCCAGACATTCTGAATGTCCAGTCTTTGGGCTATCTGTGGAATAGTCAAGCAAGTCAGGCTGTTACCCTGGTTACTTTTATGTAATGCTGTTTCATGACCTTTTTGGAAAGAGCATCCCTGAATGTACACACACGCGCTTCTTTCACCTTTGGGAAAGTCCATAATATCGAGCTCCCTCTTGGGGTTTCCAATAACTAATGTTTTGACCGCCTTACCTGAGGCTTTCAGGATTCTTCTTAACTGAACCCACTTCTGTTCTTCCTCCATCCACATTGTTTTGTTAATGTTTTATGTTTTCCTCGGTCAAGTCACTGGTTTCCTTTCCCCATCTCCTCTTCCTCAAGGATTTGCTCTTTCATTTCCAGAGAGGGGCAACTTGGATCTTCAGTCAACAGATGGACCTCCTGGCTGAATCCTTCTTCTTTTCCCTGTCCTTTGAGGCCATTCGTCTCATCTTCTTTCTGTTTCAGCTTAGTGCCGACACTCATCTTCTGATGCATTTCCTTCTACAGTTTGCTGATTTTCTCATCCAGCTCTGTTCACTCTTTCATCTTCCATAAAATTTTACCTGCAGCTTTTGGAGCTGGACTTCTTCTTTCCTCTGCTTGTGCTCTGATTCCCCTTTGTCCTGCAGAAGCATCTTCACCTCTTCGGAAAGTTCCATATGCTTGCTCTCCAGAACCTACTTTGCCTCCTCATGGTTCGTTTTCACCTGCTCAGTTTGTTTCAGATGCTGTACCAGCTCCTTCACAGCTTGTGAATGTTTCTACCTCAGCTTCTGGGTTTGTGCCTCATCATCTAGGGTTGTCATCAGAAAAGTCAGTTCTGGTTACTGCTTTGACCTGAGTTCCCCTTGTGCAGTTGTGGAGTCTATTGTGTCTTTTGGCTCTGTTTTCAGTGCCTCCAGCTCACCCAGAAGCAGGACCTGAGGGAGTTCTTTTATGTGAATCTCAGTGACCTGAGATTCCAGCTTGTGGATTTCCTGCTGGTCTATGTTCTTCTGGGCTGCTCCTTCTGCCACCTTAGTCAAGGCTCCTTGTAGTTTCTCCTCTTTCTCAGCCAGTTGTCTCTTGAGTACTGTGATCAGAGGCTGCAGCTCAGTATTGTGGTTGTGCAGCGTGGTGGAGTTCCCCTCAAGCTTTCAAGTTATCTCCAACTCTGGCATCTGCTTTTTTCCATGAAGCAGGTACTCTGACAGAGTTGTGACCATGGCTTTGTGCCCGTTCTTGAGTTTAGTGAGACTCTTAGACTTCTCCTGGGTGTCTATTGTAGCCTTCTCCAACTATAGCTTCTATCTGGCACTTTCTTCTGTGTTTGTACCACAGGGTATCCAAACCCCATTATACCCATGGGCAGTGTTTTGGACTGGCTTCCAGTGTGCTTCTTGAAGGAGAGATCTCAAATCCAAAGCATTGATGCCTTTAGCTTGTGAAAGTTTTCTTACCTTTTTAAGGACTGCCTCTAGTTGTTAGGTTGGCTGAGCAACGGGAGTGAACCAATCCATAGCCTGGGAGCACCTCCATCTTATTTCCTGGATCTGAGCCTCATGAACTTTCATCCTGCCATCCAGTTTCTGCCAGAGAGCCTTCATCTGGTTCTGTAGTTTGTAGAGGTAATTGGTGCTTGTCTCAGGGAGCTGGTTATCAGCATTTTCCTAAACTTTCAGATCCTATGTAACAAATTCCACCCTTTCTTTGACAACCCCAGTCAGGGAATTCTACTGTCACTCAGAGCATCTCACTGGGATTTTCTTCAGAATCATTTCAGGCCCCTGCATCTTGTTTGGTTCCTGGACAGTTGGCTGAACTCTTGGGCCATTCCTCCAGCAGCTTCCTCAGCTACTTCCTTCCTCAGCATTTTGAGCAGTATTCCTCTTCAGCTTCATTCTGTCCCCCACCTTCCTCTTCCTGTTTCCTCTTTATAAGGCCCATGTGCCTTCCCTTAAGCCAAATTGGGCAGCAGGCAATCAGCCACAGGTGCCCTGGACCCTGTTCCCTCTTAAAGGGGCCAGTCACCCTGTGACAGATGGGAAAAGACCTGTTAAGTAATTTCCCCCCCTTACCTAATCCCTTTTTGATCTCTCTGCGTCTCTTTATTGCTTGTTTGGGCTACTACCCTGCAAGTATATTAAACTAGAGTATATTTTGACTGCTTCACTCAGTGTTAGTGAATTCAGCATTATAATAATATAATAATATACTCTAGTTTAATATACTTGCAGGGTAGTAGCCCAAACAATCAATAAAGAGACGCAGAGAGATCAAAAAGGGATTCGGTAAGGGGGGGAAATTGCTTAACAGGTCTTTTCCCATCTGTCACAGGATATATTCTATTACTGTAGCACCTGGAAGCCCCAGTCAGGGATCAGGACCCAAGAGCTAGGTGCTATACAAACACACAACAAAAAATCTCTGCCCCAAAGAGCAACACTCTAAGTATCCAATCTTCCATAACTTGGGAGAATCATAGGACTTTAAAAACACCATTTAAATAATTTCCATGATCCCAGACTGCTAACACATTTTAAATTATGTAGCAAACAGTAAATGTTGTTTGCTTTTTAGACTGTAATATTATTATTTTACACTTAGGTACTTTGATTTTGGGGTAGTACTTTATTATTTTAATTCTGGGTTGTATTTGATTTCAGAGTGGAGGAGGCTGTCATTTTGACTTATTTTCCTGTGGTCCATCCAGTCATGATTGCAGTCTGCTGTTTCCTTATCATTGTGGGGATGTTGGGGTACTGTGGAACAGTGAAAAGAAACCTCTTGCTTCTTGTATGGGTATGTTTTCACCTTCAAAAACAGTTAACTTCTATTTTAATTAAGCAAGGAAGAAAAATGTTCGCAATCCCTGCCCCTAGATGAACGTCCTATCTTGTGATTATTTTTTTAATCTTTTTTAGTTATGATGTCAGTGTTGTATTATAATTGCAAAGCTCACTGCAGGAAAGAATTAATCATACCAGGGCTTGTTTTCACTACTGGGGAGATCGATGCTGCCGCAATTGATGCAGCGGGTGTCGATTTAGCGGGTCTGGTGAAGACCTGCTAAATCGACAGCAGAGCGCTCTCCAGTTGACTCCACTACTCCAGCTCTCCAAGAAGAATAAGGTAAGTCAACCGGAGAGCGTCTCTTGTTGACACAGCTCAGTGAAGACATTGGGGTAAGTCGACCTAAGGTACATAGCTGGAGTAGTATAATTTAGGTCGATTTACCACCGTAGTGAAGACAAGCCCCCTGGGTGCACTAAGTTATGATTGAAAGGCAAGCAATGTGAATTGCAAAAACCTAGTTGATGATAGTAGTGGAGGAATCATTCAGAAAAATTCTAGTACTAATCAGTGCAGGAGAATGAGTCTGAGTGATCTGAAACAAACCCTTATATTCTAGGCCTGACTTTTAGAACTAACTTTTTAATTAACCTGGCTTCTACTTCTACACCCACAATCAATTGTAGGCACAAATAACAGCATTTATATGTCTAACTAGCTGATTTGCGACTGTGTGGTTTGAATTCTATTATTTGTTTCTGGCGTTATCATTGAAATTTCTATGCACTAATTATTATTGTGTTCTGCTAGTTGCAACAGTAGCAAGCACCATTTGTCCTCTGCTGTATTTCTTAAAATCTCAGTATTGGGATTATTGTTTCACGATTCTGTATTTTAAGAGAAATGCTCATTTTAGCCTACAGTAATAGAATAGGAATACATTTAAAAAAAACAAAAATCTATTTCCCGGCTTGATCTTGCACCATCGAAGTCAATGGGAGCAGTAAATTACAGATTTACTAGTTCTGGCAGGAAAGTGATAAAAAGAGATTTCTGTAATTTGTGACTGCATAATTACTTTGTGAATTATATTATTTGCATGGGAAGACAGTCTTTTGTAGCTTTTTCGAGGCGGAGCTAACTCTCAAGCATTAGTTATTACATTAGATGAATTTATAAAATAAAGGGGTAAATCATTTTTATTTTATGTAAACAGAAAAGTTGTTGACATCATGAGACCCTTTAGGTTTTTATTATATTGTCAAATTATACTTTTGCCAGAGTTTTTAAGATTTTTTTATATATAAAACACTTTTATTGTATGAAAAAAATCACTAATTGCTATGATTTTAAGACAAAAATGAAGGTAAATACACTATGAAGCCCTGTTAATTGTCATTTTATATTTGGCTGCAAATTTGAAAAAAATCCTTCTCATTTTTTTCAGAATTAACAAACAAAAAAACAAAAAAACCCTGGCAACATAGGAGGTGCAACATTTTATTTAAAATGCCAACTGAGAAGAAGAAGAAATGGTTATAGTTTTTAATACAATCTGGAAACAAATTAATTTAATGTGTATTAAACAGTCAAATCACATTAGATCAAAACAAAATATTCCTACAGCTTAACTTGCAATATTTTACTCTCAAGAGCCTGGGAACTGGCTCTTGCTGACCAGACTGATAAGCAAAAAATAAATGATATCTTCTTAAGTATGACACACTCTTTGACTAATTGTTAAATAAGCAGAGTGCTGTTGTACTGCAGAGATGCGTAGCCATAAATCAATACTCCATTCATCAAACTAATCAGAAAAGTGATGTATCAACGGAACAAGCTTTTGAAAAACCAGATTAAGTGAAAGATAAGGAAAGAAACCAGGTGTAATACATTAACAGCCTTCTCTGTCATGCTTTTATTTTTCCTTTCAAGATACACAAACGGCTAAAATGACTAAACCCAAAAATGTTTGGAACCAAGGCCTGAAATTCTTAGGCAATGTGTTTTAATTGAATGTTTTTTAAAAAAATCTAATAACATTTAAGAATCTTAAAATGTAGATTCCCCCCAAAATGAATACAATAATACAACTGAATAAGTAAAACTTTTTAATGAAGAGCCAATCTAGCAATCATTAGTAAATTTGTACCACTCTGAGCGAATTGCAGTCATTTGTTCTTAAAATTCTACTTGTAGTTAAATATTTGAAAGCTTTTCAGCTTAATATGAGCTAGACACATAAACTGAACTGACATGTTTACCCTGCTTAATAACAACAGAATGTAACCACAAGATCATAATTTATCATCTTCTGTAACTTACGTGTGATCGCTTGACAGTGATCTAAACTGCGAAAACTTTAAGTTGGTTAAAATGGAGTTTGGTCTGTTTATGTAGATTTGATCTATTAAGAGTTTATATGTTTACATATGCATATGCAATCTCTGCTCTTTCTCGGGGTGTATATACTATATACATTTGCTTAATTTAACTCTGAAACTTAGTCTCTAGTATCTCTTGTTGATCTGACTGTTATGTAGATATAATTTTTATTTTTTAATTTAAATTGTCTTTAGTATTTATATTCATGAAGGTTAGTGGACTGTGTGACTGAAGATGTCTCTTATAAAGATACCATGTGCATTATGAGCAGCTGTAATGTAAATTTCTTTGCTCTCTGTTAATAATGACCAAAGCCCTGAGTGGAGATGAATACTTTTAATGATTCAGGATTTCTATCACCTCTCTTGAGGATTTCTCCTAATCAGAGATTGCCTATTGTGATAGTATCTGTGTGGTGTTTGTAGAATGGCCTGTTTACTGCTAGGCAGTGAGATGAGGCTACTAAATTAATTTCAGTTAGGTTTGATTGCTGCCCGTAAGATGAAACAGCCAGTTATTTACTATAGCATTCAGCTGATGCAGTTTAACAGCACTAGTCCTATAATGGAAGCCTTGGCACGATGAAAGAACAATCTTTTATACTGTGAATTTAAATCAGTGCCATTCTAAAATTAAACAGATATTACTAAGCAAGTAAGTCCAGTCATTCACAATTTAGTGCAATACAACTTTGTTGTATAGCCTGTTTCCTTCGTAATTTCAGTATAGGAGCAAATGTAAGAAGTAAAGGCAAATGAGAAACAATGTTAACAATTTAGGGCCCCAATCCTGAAGGATACAGTGTGACTTTAACTTTTATTGTTGCCAATGGGAATTGAAGCACTGATCGCTTACTAGAGTAGCCCCTAAGAGAGCAGACTAGTTTCCTGCATAATGAATGTAGAATGAAAGATGCTGGCATTTAAAGATTTAGGTCTGAAACACACTGTTGCTGGATCTGGTTATGAAAAAACATTTGAAAGGCATACGATTTAAAAAAATACTCAAGTTGATAAATTCATGGGAGGAGGATATCAGGATGCTGTAGTAGATTTCACTAATTTTTCATTTTTCAGCTTTACAGGTCTTCTTCTAAACTAACTTACGCCTCATGTAAGAATTACTTTTGTGTTTAAGTTAAATCGTCTATTTCTCTTCCATATGACCTAAACTGAAAAGGAGATTTTCAAAGGCACAAAAAACATTTAGGTGCCTAACTCCAAGTCTTTCACCTAACTGCCCTTTGTGCCTGGAAACTCACCCTCTGAAATGATGGAGCCCAAATTGTGGGTGGTGGTTGTTGTTGTTTGTTTTTAAAGAGAGGGGAGGGATAAAGAAAGGGAATACTGCAAATAAGGTACTAGATTTATAAGTGGGAAAACCTTTTAATAGGCAAATTTAATTAATGCATCTGACACTTATCATGCAAGGTTATATTAATTTGGATAGCATTAGTGGCACAATCTTTACATATAAAAATTAAAATCTTCATTATTTTTCAGCTAAAACAATATAAATGTGTTTCCCCTCAATATCAAGCATTCAGGTCATCTTTTATTTTTTTTTTCTTGAGTACAAGGAATATATTTTCCAGTACAATGATTCTCTGCATTTCCTATTGTTTGTATTGTAATGTTCCTTTACCAGCATTCAAGGTTACTGATCTTGAAAACAAATTCATTTTTCCATATGATTATTTTGCAGGATGGTTCCATGAGTAGGGAGCTAGCCCAGGGCTCTGGAGATCTGGTTCAGTCCTCTGCCCATTTTTGTTATTCTGCTCTAGACTCTCTCCAATTTGTCCTTCCTAATTGAAATACTTTGCATTTATCAGTATTGAATTTCATCTCGTTGATTTCAGACTAATTCTCTAATTTGTCAAGGTTGTTTTGAAATTCGAATCCTGTCCTCCAGAGTACTTGCAGTCCCTCCCAGCTTGGTGTCATCTAAAATTTTATAAGCTTACTCTCTACTCCATTATCCTAGTCATTAATGAAAATACTGAATAGTATCAAACCCAGGATTGACTCCTGTGGGACCCCACTACATATTCTTTCTCTGGAAGGAAATCTTGTTCTCTATGGAATACGAGTTACAAAAATCTATAGCAACACCTGGCTCTTTGCAGCTCTCCTTGCTCCTGCCAGCATGGGTTAGTGAGAGTCAGCCTCTTGATAATTGAACTTGAGTCTGTCTTGTGGCAGCAGGTATTGCTGTAGTTATAGAAGAATCCATTGTGACCCAAGTACAGTATTAACAAAATCACAGCTGCTCCATTACCTTGTATAAATATTTGGCACAGGAATTTTGTTATTTACAAACTCCAAGTATTTCATTATTATTAACCAGCCAGTGAAAGAGAAAAAATAAATAACTGACAGAGGTACTTAGCATTGGGTCTGTAGAGTTTAGCATTAGACAGAGCAAAGACTGGAGTTCATTGTTTTCTGATACCATGGCTTTCATCGGCTTGTTGTTTATTAAAACTCATGGTGCCTAATGTGTAGCTGGGGAAGTAAGGGGCAAACAATTTTGTAAATGTCTCTCAAAATGTATTCTCCAGTGTTTTAAACTATAAACTTACTTTTGTGGTTAATGCATTGTACATTTCTCAAGCAAGTTGG